GTAATTTGCGGTATGCGATCTATACTGGGAGTCTGAGACGTAGTCGGGTGATTTATGGACTTAATAGGTTTGATTACATTTAAGTAATTGATTGATTTGAAATTTCGAGTAATCATATAATGTAAACATAGCAGAAAGGGAAGATGGTTAAGAAATAATTGAAGAATAAATCCACTTCAAATAGAATCGGACTGAAAGGCCAAAAGGAAAGTGTTTATACCAAGGCACAGGTCCAGGAGATCGGAAGATAGACCTAATGTATAGACAGTAGGCACCGGAGGCGTCACAACGCAGACTGCAATGAGCTCAAATAAATAACCTTAAATCAGGAGCACAATTTCGAGTAATCTATACTCAGCTTTGACATTGGGAACTAGAGATAAGGTAAGAAACAGAGAGGGAATGAACGGCGTGGAGGAGACAACAGATTGACTCCCTTGGGGGCAATGAGGATGAGTAGTTACTAGCCCTAATATCACGTAACCTTCTATATGGATAATAGGCTACTACCGAGAATATGGGACATAACTCGACCAACTTACCATGACTTCTCTAAGAAATATAGATCTGCAACCTAAAGAGCAGTTTGCATTGGCTCGTCGTGCTTTTCTATCATCCTATTTCATCGTCACTTCACAAAGGTTAAAGCTCCGGCACAATTCTAAGTGAATGATGTCATATATACAGTTCTCAAGTAAAAACACATAGACAAAACTATTGATCATCTTTCTTTGGTGGAATCAGTGCTATCTTCACCAACTTGGTACTTTGTCTTCGCCCGTTCAAGAGTGTGAGTTGCGCCAAAGTCCCCACCGTATTCGCTTTCGATATCTCGTCCAGGGTCAACTGTACTCCAAGTTGCCGACTAAGCCAGGACTTCACCTCAATGGCCATCAATGAGCCAACAGCTACGGCGCTTGCTTGTTCCAAGTCCACTTCTGATGCCTGAGTAGTCCGATGATTGATCAATTTCGCCAGTTGTGAGACTAGAGTGGTACCCATCTCCGGGTCGCTAAGAAGTCGGGGATCTTCATCAATCCTCCCAAGGAGCAGCTTGAGCTGGTTGTTAGGCTTTCGGCTCTCCGCATAAATGGCTAAATTCCGATGCATTGAAAACCTTGCATCCAGGCCCAATCTCTCATCTTCCAACATCTCTGTATACTCCGTCTCACTAGAATACTGGAGCCCAGTTATCAGCTCACTCGAACACGGGGGTCCGATTGTATTCTGGCAATGACTTGCTGTCTGCTTAATCGGGTCCATTCCACTGTGTCTAAATGACGAGAAATATTTTGATCTTGAATGGCTGCTGAACCCGCAACGACGCCAAGGTCAACTACGGAAGAGGGAAGGCCCATTTGTCGACGATACTGGGTAAAGGCATCTAAATATGTGCAAGCAGCAGTGTATTTAGCCTGACCAACGTTACCGGTAATGCCGGCAAAAGAGCTCAAAACAAGGAAGAAGTCCAGCGGCAGGCCTTCTACGGCCCGATGGAGATTCCACATCCCGGATACCTTTGGTGCGAGTGCCGACTTCCATTCAGCATGTGACATCTGCAGGAATGTACGATCCTGGCAAGGAAGCCATGTTAGCGATGAGAAACAATGAAAGGTACAGTAACATACATGTAGGGAGAGAGCCAGGTTAATCACACCAGCAAGAGGCTTGGTGCAACTAGACAACGCTGTTTTCACGTCCTCTAAATTCGCCACATCTCCAGCGATGGTGATGATTTGGCAATCCTGGGCCTCAAGTTCCTTGATGAATGATTGCTCTCGTTCTAAGCGTCTAGTGGACCGCGACAGAATTATGAGCTCTCGAGCGCCTTGTCTTACCATCCACTGAGCAAGAACACGGCCGACATCGCCAAGCCCTCCAACTAGAAGGTAGGAGACATCAGAGGGGAAGGTGATACTACCCTGAGTTGACGTTACATGAAGTTCAGATGGCGACTCAGACATACGAATAATGACCTTCCCCTTATGATGGCCACTCCGCATGTATCGAAAAGCCTCTTGAGGCTAAATACACTGCTTGCGGAAGTCACGATTAACTGAGACTCTGCATTGAAAGTGGAATTGGTGGACTCAACAACGCCATTGCCACGGTCTATTATGACATGTGCATTAGATCCACCAATGCCAAATCCATTGACACTGGCCCTTTCAAGTCGGTCGGCCGGCCATGGCTTCGCATTGATGGGGACGGTCAGTTGTCCTTCGGTCAACGGCCCCCCCGGCCTAGGAGTCTCAAATAGAGCAATGGGTGGAATAATTCCACGCTAAAGGCTCAAGACCGCCTTGATAACACTGGTGACCCCTGAAGCTCCCTCCGAATGACCGACGTTGGGTTTGGTCTATTGGTATTAGCTAGGCATCATGAGACGTAGATATCTAATCAAGATAGGAAGGGAAGCTTACCTATCCAATAAATACTGAACCCCCCCTTTGTCACACGGGCAATAGCAGATAACTCTACAGAATCACCTACAGCTGTTCCTGTCCCGTGGCATTCAAAATATGCTGTCTTGGATATATCGCTAATGTTGGCATTGCGATATGCCGCACGAATCAGACTCTCTTGAGAGAGTAGATCTGGAGCAGTAATTACTGACTTCCATCCATCACTGTTGGACGCAGTACCTTGAATGATTCCACGAATAGGACCATTATTGCGAATAGCATCATCCAAGCGTTTGATATAGATTGCATTGATCGCTTCTCCGCGCCCGTATCCATCGGCGCTTTCGTCGAAGCTTCGGCACATGCCACTTTCTGATATGACCATATTAGCCGACATGGTTTTGGTCATACTTGGGCTCAAAATGAGATTTATTCCCGCTACAACTGCGGAGCTACATTCTCCAAGATAAAGGGCTTGACAAGCTTCATGTAACCCGATAAGGGAAGCAGAGCAACCAGTTTGGATCGTCATGCTATCTCCGAAGTCAGGAACAAACAAAGACGCCGAGAGAGGATATCATGATCCACGCTTACCTAGGCCCCTTGAAGTCATAGACGTACGAGATACGGTTAGATAATGCAAACGCGCCCGTACCGAGGACATAATAGCGATTAACATGTTGATATTCTCTCGTGGAAAGGGAGAGCCAATCCTCCCCGAAGGTGCCGACGTAGCATCCTATGCTTTTACCACGCCAGTCTGTTTCTCCTGCATTCTCTAGACACTCCCATATTACTTCGAGTAAGAGACGCAGTTGTGGATCCGTCATTGAAGCATCGGCAGAACTTATCGAGAAAAAGTCTGCATCAAAATAGGCTGGGTCTTCCTGAAGATAATAGCCATGACGGGTGCGAATTTGCCGTGGGTTCTTGGGATCATAGAATGACTTTGCATTGTATCGACTTTCGGGAATCTCGCCGTGACCTGTTCTCTTCTCGACGAGCATGTCCCAGAAGTCTTTCGCTGAACGAACTCCGCCTGGTAACCTCATCCCCATCCCCACTATGGCAATTGGAGGACGACGAGCTTGCACGTCTTTCGGATCGATATCAGCCATGCAGCTAGTACATGTCTTGCAGGAACATCTTTGGACGCGAGGAGCTTCTGCTGTGTCGGGAGCAGGATGACATCCAGGCGAGATATTCATCATCAATAGTATCAACAGCAAGAAACAGGGTGCAAACCAAGTTCACGAGAAAAAAGCACAACTAGAATGAAAAACTGTCGTTCTGTCTTTCCCTGAAACGATTGGTTGTTATGAAGAGTTGTGTCCCGTCGCAAGAACAAGGGAAGTTGAGGTGCTCGATCCTACCCTTGCTCAATGTTATACAGTTAGTTCTGCTTCAAAGGTTTCCGAAATGCCCGTTTTCCCACCAAATCTCGACATTTTTGACTACCGATTTGTCAGTGATATTTCCATAATGAGATTGATTTACAAAATATTCATATAAGCTAATCAAAAATATCGAGTGCTTGTGTGAAGCGGGCATTTATCGGGGACTTTTGACGTAGAACTATGAAACTATCCCTCCATTCTGTACCTCTCACAGGTGAACGCTGCTATTCACGCAAATATCATATTTCCCAGGTCCCTCGAGCCTCGGGACATGCAATGGGTGTTCTTCACCCATCCTGGGACAAGCTGTACGTATGTATAGGTATATCGCCAGTGCTGACCAGGCCAGATGGTAGTAGCCTGAACATTGATATTCTCTAAGCGATGGCATAGCATGAGGCAAGGAGGACAATGTATTCAGAAAGGCAGTTGCATATTAAGTGTTGAATTGGGACGTTTTGGTGGCATGCCCTCGAATGCTCTGATGCGAGAGTTATATACAGATATTTATAGCTCACAGAGTAGACATGTTCATTATAGGGAAAATGTGAGGAAACGAAAGATGAGATGGGAGGGGACAGGGGTTCATCTACCTGGGCATCCACATAGAAATGATTGATTGCAGTCACAACTTTCTGGCACTTTCACCCTTTTCTTCATCGCCACCGGATCTGCTATTCTTCCCTGTGCGCACTAAGATGGACTTAATAGTTTGCCATTGTGCACCAACTGCCTTCCCCAATATGGAGAAACCACGAGTAATGACCTGATATAGCTTCCTAAAAGGATAGAGCAGTAAAGTTATCGCTTTCACGGAGATATCCAGCACAACCGCAACATAACGATCCGGAAGGAGCTTTAGCACAGCAGCCCACGGTATGCAAAAGATTGAGAATCCAATACATATAGCCCACTGAACACCATCCAGCGGCGTGACGCTGAAAGCAGCGCCTCCAACGAAGATGATGAGGATTTGCCCACCGACCATCAACACATTGATTCCCATAAACCAGTAATTCCGGTGGACGCCTTCGAATATATTGAACTTGTTGTCTAGGCGGCGGTTATTGAGTTCATTGAATATCTGCATCCAAACGAAAGTATTGAAAATTATTGTGTCGAGCTCGACTTGCTTTTGGTGGATGCGGGTGTCGTAACCCAGGATACGATCACCCGCGAAGTACAGGGTGAAACAGACGGCCAGTTTGTATATCGATTGCCCGATTATCATCTTCCACATGGTGACTGTGAATAAAGGAGCCTTCCTTGAAACTGGAGGCCGTTGTAGTATTTTCTCGGTTGGGGCATCGGTTGCTCTGGATTGTGTTGGTTACGTGAGCTCCTTATCCGGGTCCAATTTGGTGTCTTCTTCTATTGTTGGGATTTAGGATATATGGAGTCACTTACAGCGCTAAAGCAGCGAAAGTATCCATGATCAGGTTAACCCACAGTAACTGGACGGCCTTTAGCACACTTTCATTGGAGTTGCTGTAGATTGCTGTTACCACTGTGAGGCAGACAGCAGTGATGTTGACAGTTATTTGGAACTGTATGATTGTTAGAATCAGGGAGAAGGAAGAGAAGGACTCCAGAACAAGAGTCAATAACACAAAGACTGTGACGTACCTGCAAGAACTTAGAGACAGCATCATTAACGGCCCGACCCCATGCCATAGCCGTCACGATAGACTTAAAGTTATCATCCAAAAGGATGATAGAACTCGCCTCACGCGCTAATTCCGTTCCACTGATGCCCATTGAAAAACCTACATCGGCGGATGTCAAAGCAGGTCCGTCGTTTGTCCCGTCGCCTGTTACTGCAACCGTTTCACCAAGACGTTTTAGATGCTTGACGAGCATACGTTTGTCATCGGGTGACGAGCGAGCCAGCACCTGCAGCCGTGGAACAATAGCATCCATCTCCTTCTCTGTCAATTTTCGGAACTCCGGGCCCTCCATAACAATGCCGTCACTATTCTTGATTCCACAGGAGGACGCAATGGCCGAGGCTGTATTTATATTATCACCTATAGTTTACCTATTGTTAGCCCACTGAAGTTCAGATGAGAGAGAAAAGCTGACCTGTGACCATTTTAACTTGGACGCCTGCTGAATGGCATGCCTTGATTGCTCCAGAGACTTCAGGTCTCAACGGGTCGTGGATTCCAAAGGCCCCAACCCACGTCATATCTCGAAGTAATGACTCAAAGTCGGGAAAGCCCTTTTCGCTATCTCCATTGAGACTGGTAGGCCAGTCTAAGAGATCAGTGTAGACGACCCCAATTGTGCGTAGGGATTTCCGCGCATAGCCATCAATAGTGTCCAAGATTGCTTGACGAATGCCATCAGAAATGGGTTTTGTCACTATCTGATTTGCGAAAGATGGCCCCGTAGTTACTGTCCGAGTTGATGCGTTGAGTATGACCTCGGACGCCCCCTTAACAAGCAAACGATATCCAGTTGGTCCAGCACGATAGACAACCCCCATTGCCTTGCGACTAGAATCAAAGGGAAATATATGTTCAATATGGGCATTCGCTCGCTCCTCAGTGAGATCAGTCATATGTAGATAGTCTTTTGCAAGCTGAAGAAGGGCTATTTCTGTCTTGCTTCCAACAAATTCACGTCCACCGTCTTGCTCCTCCTCGAAGGCTGTCGAATTTAAGGCGACACTGTCAACCAGCAACTGTTTGAAGATAGTAGGAAATAATTCTAGTGTCTCCAGTATTGTAGGAGACGTCGACGGGTTGCCATTCTCGGTTGGCTGCTGGTCAAAACATTCATTAGCACCAAGTAACCCCACCACCACCGTCATCTTGTTCTGCGTAAGTGTTCCAGTCTTATCAGAGCATATCACGGTAGCATTGCCCATAGTCTCACACGCACGCAGAACTCGGACAAGGTTGTTCTCTTTGAGCATACGAGTCGTAGCGAAAGCCAAGGCAAGAGTCACAGCCAAGGGTAGTCCCTCTTGAAGGTCGTTAGTGGCATAGCGCAGATTATCGACTACTATACGTAGACGACTTACCAGGTATAGCAACCACAATAACTGTAACAGCGACAATAAGGATATCCATGAATTCTTGGCCTTTCACACTTGGGGAAGCATCGTTATCAGGTAGTTGCACTAAGAACCGGATCAAAAGGACAAAGAAAAGGAGCAAAGCAGCACTGTGGGTTTATATTAGTGGGCGATTCTGATCTTGAGTGGAATTCTCGCACCTTGTTCCAAGCCATCCTATCCACCCTGCCAATCTAGCCAGCTTGACCTGAAGGGGTGTTGGTTCACTTTCTGTTTGCAGAGATGCCATAATCCTTCCATTAGTGGAATAGCAACCAACACTAGTAACCAAATATGTTCCCACCCCTTCAAGCACCTTACTTCCGGAAATGATAAACGGATCTAGCTCCCTAGTAGCAGTTCCGTCGATGATGCTACTCCATACTTCATGACCAGTGGCCTTTTCCATGTGGTCAGATTCACCTGTCGCGGACGACTCGTCGCATTTGATTCCGTGACCAGATATGATAACCCCATCGGCCGGTGGGGAATCCCCAGGTTCAATGTGCAGGACGTCACCGACTGTGATGTTGGAGATGTGTACCATAAGTGGCCGTCCTGAGCGGATCGCTCGAACATCGCGGTCAATTTTCTACATGGGGGTCAACTCAAAGATGATATGAAACGAAAGTGTGACTTACTCGTCTGTTTAACTTGGCAAACTGCCTCTCTTTCTGCCAGTCATTGCCGGCTGTGGCCGCCACCACTATAATAATAGCGACACATACCGCCACACCCTCAATCCAATCTACCTGAGATTGTCCGCTAGCTGCTTCGTATATCCCCAGCGATAGTGATATAACAGCCGCAATAGTTAACAGGATAATGATCCTATCATTATACGCATCCCAGAGTAGCTTGAGAAAATGTTTCCTTCTGGGTTCTGGTAATGCATTGCGACCAAAGATCCGATATCTGTCGAAGAACTGGGATGAGGAGCTTTGCACAATAGGCGTCTGGCTATCAGCATTCAATAGTTGCGGCTGGCTATCTAGCTTCGTGAAGGCACACTTTGTGGCATCGTCGAATGTTATGGATTCCGAAATCCTGTTCTCGTCCACAGAAAGTCCGGCCACAAGGTCAGTTTGAAGCCCAATCTCTAGACCCCTAAGGCCTCCTAAAGCATGGAAGGCAGCGAGGGATTTAGGATTCAGCAACTTGTTCAGCTGTCCGGGTGAAAATGCAAACTTGTTGTCAACGACTTCAAAGTCACTCTCATATTGCGGATCAGGGGCCAATGCTTCGGACAGAGAGACGTCGTCGTATCGAAGACTGGTTAACGAGACGTTCTCAGTGCTGTGTGTAAACATCGGATTAAGGTTAGTATCGAGTCTCTGGTCAGTAAAGGTGGCCATGATGGATATTCATTGTATCAGTATTGTTGTCGGTACTCACACTATCCTGGAGTTGGGGTTATCACCATTATTACGGTAAACCATGTGTAGTACTACTATATGGCATCTTTAATGACTTGATCGTGGCTGTGTTCTGCAGTAGACGACGGAGCCAAGAAAGCCAAAGAGAACTCCCATGGCAAATAGTGACATGGTTTCTCACAGCTAGCCCAATGATTTTTGGATAATGGTCGTAGACATGAGTGTCATACCTCAGAGCTAACTGCTCACTGTGGGGATTGGCGAAAGCCCTCGATCGACTAAACAAGTGTAGAGAGGGTTTTCCATGGCCACGAGTCAGCTACCCCGGTAGTGATCCCAGCTAAGGAAGGCCTTACCAGAAATTAGCAATATGAAACGGTGAACAAATCACACCCCTCAGCCTTGATGTCTTGACGTCAAAGATACCCACCATTCTCCAATCAATCAGAGAACGCAAGGTGAGATATCAAAGCTATGGACAACAGAGTAAGCTACAGCGAATCAGCCCATGGTCAGCCCATACTATATTGTCCTATGGAGCCGGATATCGTGATCTGGACCATTGTATAGCTCGGGATGACAAGTTTGGGTGAAAAGCACTGCCTCGCTTGGCTTCATCACTGATAACCTTATTTTCAACACCACCAGCGTCACAACAAACAACTCACGGAGTTTGACAATTAATTTCCACATTTCAATTTTTCACTAAATCTCAATTATTCATCAAAAGGAACTACTGGATACGATCACTTATACTCTTTCGAAATATAACGTGGAGTCAGTAATGGCCGGTGAAGTCTCAATCTCCGCCCCCCTAATTTTGCCTCAATATAACCAACCGTCATATATCGAGGGGCAAACTCTATCAAACTCAGCAAGAAATGAACTCTGTCAGGGAGGCCCCACGCAGAGAAGGTATGACTATCAGTCGCCTGGCTCGACTACATCGTCAGCGCCAAGTTATAACATGACTTGAGCTCTTCTAGTGCCGACATTTTCATAACTCTCCTATTGAGCGATTTTACTCATAATACCATCACGTCTGCAGGGATCCACAATGTATCTAATGCTGCGCCTCATCCAATATATACGATTGCTCTTGGCTAAAGCTGCTACTACTGCACATGCCTCACTATTTCTGAGTGGCTTCTAAGCCAAGCGACAACCGAAACCAGACGGAGGAAATCTGTATCTACGCAACCGTGAAGCAAGTCTAAATGATTCTCTCTTTGATACAATAACTCAGCAGCACAAAACAGTCCTACCTGTTCGTTACGAAGACTTGATGCACCTGCCTTCATTTATCTCCAACTCAAGGGTAGGAGCTCATCCAAGCTACATGAAACGCGAGTTGCTACTTGGCTGCGATACCCAACTGCTATACAAATGCTCAGATGACGCGTCATATGGCAGAGGCCCCTTCCTGCATGATTCCTTTACTGTCCTCCGACCCAAACCACCTTTTCTTGCCTTCAGGCATAGCCACTTCACATGCCGCTTGTCCAGTCTTAAAAAGCAGCAATGTTTGTAGCACATCTTCTGTTCTGGTACGGAGCACATAGCCTTTGCAGGGCGAGAAGGTAACTCATTAATGGCGCTCATTTCAACAGTTGAAGAGTAAGTAGAGGCATTGCTGCAAAGATTGATTCATGCATTATCCGCCTATAACAGAGATCAGTAAATACAATGTGTCGAAATACATTCAACACGAAGTCCTAGGTGATCTGGCCCCATATTTATGCATGTAGCTGGAGACAGAAATCAGCTGATGGTACTCATATTTCATACTCTAATCATCGATGGTCGCTTCAGCTATTGCAATAAAGTTAATTTATTTTATACAGCTCCCATCTGTTTTGGAGGTACCTCAACATGACTTATGTCCAAATATATTGAGGTATATGACACTTCTGCTATGTGACGTATCTGCTAGAATAGCCCGCATTTGTTCGTCTTGCCTTAATAGGTATGGACTAGGTGGAGTAGGAAATATGGACAGCCAAGCCTGCATATCTTTCAACAATGTTTACCAGTACGATGAAGGTTTCATTACTAAGCATGACCGGATCCTTCCACCGTGCTTCATGATTCTATATTGAAAATACAACCACTTTATATTTCAAGCATCCAGGAGAACTCTTCGACCATCAACTCAGATATGTCAGCCAGGCATTCGGACTGTCGGAGAGTCCGGATCTCTGTAGCAATATCACTGATCTTTCTCACAAGATTCTGTCGAGCTTGGGTATTTGGTCCGGGTTTAGCCAATTGTTCCAGTCTGTATACCAATATTGTGCCCGAGCCGGGTGTGCGCTTGGAATACTGTTCTAGGTGTGCTTCGTCTTTCTGGGACTCTTTCTGGTACTGGTTGGTATTCGCTCATAATTGAATAGACATAAATTATTCTCCATATTATCTATAACAAGATGTTGTGGGACTGGCGGAATGACCCAGGAATAGGTACTATAATATGAGTACTCCGTAGAGACTAGCCCTAAGTACATACTTATCTAGGTAGCAGTGCCACCCTTATCTTAGCCGGGAGCCTATAGTGGGGCATCATAAAAATGCTGTCTTTGGCCGCCCGCAAGTCCAATGGCCTTTTTGATATGAATATAACGCCCTCTCACGCTATACTATCAATGATTATCTCCGATCCCGAATAGTCGACTAGCCATTTCATCCACCTCATCCCAACTTCTTGCCCGTCCTGAAAATGGACTATCTTAGTCAGGAAATTCTGCAAATAATCATCAATTATCTCCTCGAAGTCCCTGCTATAAAAAATCCCACGCCATGGCAGCCCCAACCAACTCCAAAGGTTGCCCAGTACGCGAGAATCTCGCGCAATTGGCAATACGCCGTGGAACGTTTCACAATGGCAGATATCAAGAAATACAGTTCCGATCTGGACATGTTCCGGCAAGTATTCTCCACCGCGCGACGAAGAAAGTTGCTGCGAAAGCTGGAGTATGAAATCGATCTACCAACCTACAGCAAGAACCGCATATCGTGTCTTGAAAGAAGGAGGGAGATCAAGGCAAATAACGAAGCCTTCAATCAAGGCGTCATCGACTTATTTGACGAGATGTCCTCCTGGGAGACACAGGGCATGGGTTTGACACTTACTGCATCGTCGCCTATGGATCGTCATCGGCGATCGTCTGAGCTTGGTTATGGATTGTCGGACAAGCGATGGAGCTTTGAAGATAACTACCTTACTTTGGATACTGAGGTTTCTTTGCCTCAGCTACCGTTTGTTGAGGGGTTGGTGATTGCTAATGCACGACGCTCGCTGCATCCATCGGCTATTGGGAAAATGATCTCGTCACTACCCAGTCTAGAACGGTTGACTATGGAGTTAAATGCGCCCAAGGCTAAACGAGTAGAAATGCAAGATGAACACAGATCGTGTAAGATATGCCATCCACTAAAGCGAGATTTTTACTAACAGCCAAAAGCCCTTGCCAATGCATTGGAATCACCCTCACTGAGTAACTTGCGAACACTGAATATATACATCGAACAAGACATCCCATACAACCAGAACTTCAAGAACCGACCCACCGACCCTCAATATCCAGATGGAGATGTTTTAAACATCGCCCTTCGTAAATTGGCCGAAGACACCCAATTAACAACCCTAAATCTCACAGGATGGTGGCTGGTCTCACCTGCACTATTCAACACAGACAAAACATTTCCATATCTCCAGAAAGTGCAGATACAGGGAGCGCTTATCACCTACGATGGCCGATGGTATTATAATGGCAATCCAGCCGATGTCGAACCGAGTTATGATTCCATCCGGTATGATGACGACGATGAAGATTCCTCCGACTCCGACTCCAACTCTTCCTTCAATTCTGAATATCAGGACTCCATTCCCGAACACAGAGAGGCTCTTCTGAATGGCGAAAAGCCCTACCATATGTGGAGGACACAGCCCGATCTGCAGATGTTCGATCCTCTCATGAAGACGATGGCTACTGCGATACTCCGGATGCCTCGACTGTGGAGTTTCTCCTTCTCGATTGGGTGGGGTTATATTGATGAGAATGCTATCTTATTCGAATACTTAAAGCCGGGAGAGAGGCCTGAGTCTTTTGAGTATCGACCACATGAGTTGGATATGACCCGGTGCTACGTAACACTTATGCCAGAAGCAAGGTGGGAGGTTCCCAGTGATGTTGCGAGTCTGTGGAAGGAAGCTGTAGGGGATCAGGGCGTCGTTGCTGTTGAACCTTACTAGCAACACGGTTGATTTATCTCCGAGTTGCATTGGGATAACTTGAGGGGCCATGAGCGAAGACACAATGACGTCGTCAATAATTTAGAGACCAATGTAAATAGTTTTCAAAAGAAGTTGGAATAAAGATATATATTCAACAGTAGCGAAGAAGCAAGACAAGGCTACTAACTACATGAGTTAGTATTGAATTAGTATTTGTAGTCACTTTCAGTACACCCCAGTCATGTGATAGCATATTCCAATCAATTTTCCAATACTAGATATACTACAGAGTAAATAATGTTCGTTCCACAGCATCCATCAATCCATCAATGCAGGGAAATAGCTATGAGACGGAGACCCATCAACCTCGTATTTGCGTCATGATCTACAAGGCTGCTGAGTCACCGAAATCACCCAACATGACAATACCGTGACTGTTCATGAGGCAGTGACAAGGCTGACTCCGAACCCTAATATAGAATATATAAACTTCTTACTTTCGCTATTCTAACACACCCACCTCATTTCCACCATAAATTAAGCAAACTCCATCCAATTATCCACAATGCCACCATCCCTAAACTCCCGCACCTTAGGTTCAATCTGGGGAGTTTGTGTAGGCGACGCACTAGGCGGACCAGTCCAATTCATGGACCCCGGCACCTTTGAGCCCATCACCGGCCTAGAATATGTGAAACCCTTTCACCAACCCGCAGGGTAACTAACTAATGCCCCCCCCCCCCCCCCCAATCCTTCGTTAGGAAAAATCC